GTTAAATGAAAATTTACTTTTTTAATCTTTCATTCTGTCACTTTGTTGTTTTTCTTACAATTGGGGAAAATTTTTTTGTTTTGTTTTGGTGACACCCAAAACGGCGCGCGACCATTACGGCGCAAAGCCATAACTTGCTTCAAGATTTCCCAATCTTAACAAATTTAGTATCAAACGATTCCTCTCGTCGAGCTAAGGAGATTTGACCAAAATTGATAAGTGTCAGAAATTTTCCAACTAGTTATGGCTTTGCGCCATTATGGCCGCGCGCCGTTTTGGGCTGTACTATTTGTTTTTGTTTTTTACTTCTTTTTAATTAATTTTTTTTTAGTTTTTAAGAAATGTTTTGGTATTGCTGTGATTCTTTAAAATTTGGATCTGCTAAACGGGAAATTAAACAAATAATAAAAAGCAATTCAATAGAAAATGATGAACGATTTGCGAGCATTTTTACTTACAATTCAGAAAGAAATTATGGAGGGAATCGTTACAATACTGCTTTTGGTATTTATTTTTATTTATTTTTACTGGGAAATTTTGGTATTCCTCTACTTTATTGGTTTTTGTAAAAATGGGCAAATAAGCGTTCTTTCGATTTTTGGGGTTATAGCTCGATTACCCACTGGTAAACCTCAAAAAACATCGAAAGAGCACTTCTTGCCTTTTTTTTTCTAGGGACCACTTAACTAGAGGATTACCGAAATTTCAAGTTTTTGGAGAGTATTGACTCGAGGTTTTATAGGTCTAATAACTGATTTTTCAGTCTCATGACTGGACTTTTTACCTATTTATTTTTCGGCCAGTTTCTCTTTTTTGCCTGTTAAAATGTTTTTATTTGTAAGTCCTTGATTTGTAAAGAGCGTGGGTTTGGGTTACCTAGAAGAGATTCTGGACCTTTATTTTAAAAGAACTCACAGAGCTTTAATTTGATTGGGATTGAATTTTTAGGAACAATCCTGGACTTTGGAAATTCCCAGCTATATTTCTAATTTTTAATTAAACCAATGCAGTCTTTTTTTAATCCCATAACCTTCCCCCCTTTTCCAGTTAGTTTATAAAATACTAGTTTTTAATTTTTTCAGATTGGGGAGGCAACAATCAATTTTCGCAGCTTCCAACAACCTTAGAAGAACAATTTCCAAACAACCAAAATGTTTCTAATAAATTTGGAGAATTTATTTGTACATTACTTTCTTTACTCTTTTTTATAATTACCTTGCCATTTTCTCTGTTTTTTACTTTAAAGGTTTCTTTTAACTTAAAAAATGGTACGTGTGTAGTTTACCCCCCATAATCCCGCCCCTATTTTCATTTAATTTTTTTTCGTTTAAAATTCACCACAAGCACCAATCTTTTGACCCAAGTGGTATATTGACCCAAATGGTCATTTTATAGGAAAAGAAACTTTTCTTAAGAAAAGGAAGAGAGGAAAAGGGGCGTGGCTTATAGGGTGTAAACTACACAAGTATCAAATATTTTTCAAATTTTAGTTTATCAACCCATTCCAAAAAGCTGTTGTAATGCGACTTGGAAAATGTCAAAATAAAGTTTATGGACAAGGAATGATTTTACTTTTACCTTTTATTGATGAAGTAACGATTGTTGATTTGAGGTTATTTTTTTAAATTTTTTGAGATTTTTTGGGGATTTTCAAAGGTAGCATTTTTTAGCGTCAAACTTGGCCCCGTATAACTTTCTTTTCGGATTTTTACAAAATTTTTATCTCGTCGGGATATTTGGAATCCTTTCCTCCAATTACTAAAATTATAAAAAAATTTTTGTTTGGGTCTGTTTCATGTTCACTGTTTTTAGACTTTTAATTGACATTCTCAAGTTGATTAATAAACCCTAGAACCTAATTGTAGGCCTTTTTCAAGCGACAGTCATAACCCATTCCTTAAATTCTTTTTTAGATTTTTTTACAAAAAATTATTTTTATTCATTTGCTCAAATTTTTTAGGGTCTCCACCATAGAATTACCAACAATTTATTTATTTACCACAGACCGTGGAATAGTTGAATTATCCTCTGTTGTGCTTATTCAAATTATTGACCCAATTATTGCTTGTTGTACTGTCCAGAATGTTAAACAGGTTTTTTTGAAAGAATTTTTAAATAAAAAATCAAAAAAATTTTTTTTCGATGTTAAATTTGCTCGTCTACACAGCATTACATAGACATTTGGGAAAACGAATGTTGAGCGATATTACAAATCCAAATTCTCTTGCAAAACATGTGGCTAGTTGTAAGGTAAAGAAATATTAATTTTATTTTATTTTTCCGGAAAATTAAATATTCTAATTTATTCTGGTATTTTTTGTATTTTTTTTATAATTGTATTTTTTAGATGTATTTTCCGGAATGGAATATTTAAAGTATATTGGTGTATTTTCCGAAGTTTTTGTTGTATTGTCCTTTCCGAAAAATACAATTGTATTTTTAACACTTTCCGGAATGTATTTTTTTGTATTTTCTTTCCCGGAAATCATATACCTATTTAATTTTCCGGAAGCATTCTGCAGTCCTTATAAATAATTAATGTATTTTCCGGAAACTTTCAACTAATTTTTGGTGTTTTCCGGAAAGTTTAGACTTTTCTGGAATGTATTTTTAATCTTATAATTGTATCTGGAAAATATTAAAGACTTCCGGAAAATACAACAATTTCAGGAAATAATTATGTGATATTAGATACATTCCGGAAAAATTATTTTGTTGCGTCGTATTTTCCTGAAGAGTTTAATATTTTTTGTATTTTTCAATATTTTCCTTTCCGGAATGTATTTTTGTTTAAATATTTTTTTCCTCACAGAATGAATTGGACCAATTTATTCACAAATATGGAGTCAAAATAGATGCAATAAACATCACAAAAATTAATGTAATTAAACCTGGCGAAAATGGGGCTGTCTCAATTTTTAAAACTTTAATTCGTTCTGATGTTGGTAAACAATTTTTGGATGTTTTTGGATGTCCTGTTAATAATTTAAATAATTTTATGAATGAAGGTGGGGGAGAAGGAAAAAATAAAGAGAAGAATTTAATAAAATTGTCAAATGAGGAATCCAAGGTTTTTTAATTTTTATTAAAATTTTGGGATTAGAAAAACGGATTTTTTTGGATATGCTTTCCTCACCTAAATTTCTCTTAACGATTTTGCGGGGTTGAAAACAGGCTGTAGCCAGGATTTTTTTCGTAGAGGGGCCAAGGGAAGAAGATTTTTCTGCTCCGAATTTTTGGCGCCAAAGATGTAAAAATATTATTTTTAGAAGGCCACGGGCCAAACAGTTTACTTGTTCAGCGCCGCGAGCGAAAATTTTGTGAAATTTGGAAGGTCATAGGAAAGCCGTCAACTTAAAAGTTGTTGGGCTTTAATATTTTAAATACATATTTTGGGTTTTTTCAGTTAGAAAATTATTTTTTATTTTTCTTGATTTTTAGGCTCAGAAAAAAAATTTTAACCCAATGTAAACGACATCGTTTCGTTTTTTCATATATTTTTATTCCGATTTGGCTCTTTCCTTTAATTTTTCATTTTTATTTGGCTTATAAGAAGTCTGGAACCCATGTCTAATTTTTCATGCCTTTTCTAGTTAATTTAAAAATACATATATTTTTTTTTTCAATTTTTTAAAAGAAAATAGCCTATCAGAAAACTTTCCCATTTTTGAAAATTTTTTGGAAAAATTGTAAAATTTTTTAACCCATTGTAAGTACATTAAGTCGTTTTTTCACGCCCTTTGTCCTGATTTGGATTTTCTTTTACTTGATCTATTCCAATTAGCTTATAAGAAGTCTGATAACTCCCTGCCTTTTTTAAAATTTAGAATACTAAAAATAATTTTCTTTTAAAGAAAATAGCTGATACCTTCTCTACAGCTTCAACTGAAAAACAAAATTCCCCTTCAATTTTAAATTCAATATCAGAAGAAAAAATTGTTGAAGAAGAAGATAATGATGAATTGGAACAACTTTTACAACGTATTCGCCTCGTATTATTTCAAAATTGTGGTGGAGGGAATTTATTGAAACGAGTAAATAAATGCTTTCGTGTAAAATGTACTGATTGCTTGAATAATAATGAATTCGATATTGATTTGAGAGAATCTTGTGGAGGATGGTGTGGGTGGACATGGCAGAGAGGAGGAGGTTCTTTTAGTTTTTTTTTATATTTTAAGCCCCAATTTATTTTGTTTTGTAGGTTTTTCTTTTAGGGTTCCTAAAGTCCGCAAATTTTGTCCGCAAGTCATTTATCCTGTTCTTTCAGTAATATCACCCCCCAACTTTCGATGGGTGAGGGGCAACTCAAGGAATTTCGAATCACGGGACAGACAAGCCAAGAACGAAAGGTCTTACCAGATCACGAAACGACCAAATCATGGAACGCCAAAATCACGGAATATTTAAAAATATTCAGATTTTTCAAAAAATTTCGATTTTTGAAATATTCCGTGTTTTGGTAATTCCTTGAGTTGGTCGTTCCCTTACTTGTCTTTCTGTGTCTTGTCCGTTCATTGAGTTAGCCCGACACATCCCTCGATATTTTCTTTCTAACCCCTTCAAATCATCCGTTTTGTGTTAATCATTTAAGGGCAGTAGGCATTCGACCTCCTTAAACCTACTTTTCTCCATCTTGCGGATTAAATTTGCGGATTTTTGGCAAAATTAAGGGAATGTACAGCAAAATATCTTTTATTCCCTTTGATTTTAACATTTTTTATTAGAATTATCCCCATTACCTGATGTCCATTTTACCTTGTCTAAAACAACAATAATATCTCTCATCAATAATCAATTATCTCCAATGTCTGCTTACATCAATGGACTTGTTCAAATTCAAGGTTCTATTCAGGATGCAATTTTATTGAAGAATTTGGCCGATTGTTTGGCTGTTTAATTGAAAATAATATAATTTTTAAAGTTTTTTTCTTAATTTCTTTTTTTCCCAACTAATTTTTTTTGCCCCCTCCGCTTCTCCTCATTCCTCTTAGCTACCCTAGTTTATTGTTTCTTTGTAGACCATGTTGGGGGGTTGTGGCTTTGAAATAAAAAATATTTTTTTCCTTTCCTGACCATTCTCCCCCTCCTTAATGGGGTAATTTGCCTCTTTTCCTTTAAGACATCCACCCTGGAACGTTATCTAGGCCAAACGTTCCCTTTTATTTTTGCGGTCTTCCAAGTTTTAAATTTACAATTCCTGCTGATTTTCTGACTTTTCCTTCTCATTAAGCTTGGTTCCCTTTGTTTTTCCTTGGACTCCACATTGTTGGTGGTGGGAGTAAAAAAATATTTAAATTTTGAGAGACATAATGACCTACATATAGGGAGGAGGGCATTCTGTGGGGTCATATAAAAAATTCTTTTCGCTTTTCCTCCATCCTTGTTCTAGTCATTCAATTTTTTTTATTAATTATAAAAATAAATTTTACGTCTCTTGTATTATAATTTTGTTTTTAAATATTGTATACCTCTACAATTTTTTTAAAAATTTTTTTAAAGATTTATTTAATCATTTAATATTTAACAAAAAATGAATTCAAGCTCAAATAGCAACAAAATAAAAAATGCAATTCCAAAAATTAAATCGAATCGAGGCGGAACTCGACAAAGCGAGACGAGTGATACAAGCTCAATTTCCACAGAGGATGAATTTGTTTGTGTAAAACGACCAAAAATGAATGAAATTGGCACAATGACTAGTGAAACGAAGACTTTTAAAGTGGAAGAAAATACAGGTTTATTAGGTTAGTTTTTTTTTAATTTTTATTTTTAAAATGGTGGCAAGACCACTTTTGACTGACAGGGGACACTATCGTGCTATGAGCAAAATTTTTTAGATAAATTATACCATACTGAGGCTAACAATAAGACTCGTCCCCGTGGAAACAACCCCTTAACACTTTAATAAATTTAATTATTGGCCCTTATTTTAATTTTTTATTTTAAGATGTTCTCTTCAACTTCTTAAATTTTATTGTGGAGCTTTTCAAAGCGTTGTTTAACAAAGCAAAGAATGTAACCTTTATTAGAATGGATTGGGTATCCTTAAATTTAAAATATTTATTTTAATTTGGGCTAAAAAGGACGGTCAATATCTCCCCTAAGGGCGTAGCCAGTGGGTCGATTTCAGGGGGGCTAAAATGGGGTACGCACCAAAATTTGGCGTTTTGAATGCAAATTTTATTGTACACATTTCTATTTTTTTCAGCGCCGCAGGCTAAAATTTTGAAAATTTGAAGGGCGTAAGCGAAAAAATTTCATCTTTCTTATCATCTTTCTCACTATATTTTTCCCTTTTCCTTATTTCAGGGAGGGGAGGCTATAGCCACAGAAGTTCCTTTTTCTTGCTACGCCCTTGTATTTTTATCTGAAAAACCGGTCTGGCACCCATTTTTTAAACAAAAACCTTTCAAACAAAAGCCTCATTTTATTAGTTCAAATAAATTTTTCAAACTTATTTTTCAGATCTCTACTATTCGACATCGTCTAATCACGAAAAAAACAATTGTTATGGTTTTCGATAAATTGTTTTTAATTTTGTTTCCGTCATTTTTTCTACTATTCTTCATACTTATTTGCAATGTATTTTGGCTTGCATTCTCAGCATGTATTTTTGAAGATTTAATTTTTGGGAGATGGTGGTCTGCTATTGCAATTTTTAGTTTATTTAGTTTTGTTGTTGCTCTTATTGGTTATTTTTTTATGTTGCACGAATTTATAATGGAAGTTTTTTATTAAATTTTGTTTAATTTTCCATAGCACTGTTTGCGGATTGGGATTCCTACATTTTAAGGGGGCCGTATTTCTCTGACCATTTTAAGACTGATGATTTAATTTTTTCTCTTTTCTATCAATCAAAATTAGTGATTTCTTACAATTTTTTTGCCAAATATAACCTGAGCCGATGGACTTGTCCGCAAATTTTGTCCGCAAACCCATTTAAAAACTGTTGAAACGATCATTTTTTATAATTTTACTGTTATTTAAATAATCTCGAAAATAATTGAATAAATCTCAAGGATATTTTTAAATTTATTAAAAATTTGTTTTAAATTGTATATTTTTACAATTTTATTTATTTTAAATTGTTTTTTGTCTTTAAATAATTTTTTAAAAGATTTTTTAATTCAACAAAAAATGTGTTCAAACTTTAACAATTTGACAACAGATGAATTAACAAGCGATACAAGCCTAATTTCTACAGAGGATGAATTTTTTTGTGTAAATCGACCTAAAATGAAGGAAATTGGCACAATGACTAGCGAAACGAATATTCCCAAAGTGGAACAAAATTCAGGTTTATTAGGTTAGTTTATTGAAATTTTTCTAATAATGGGATCTTTTTGACTTTTGGTCTCCTTAATCTTTTTTAATATTTTTGGCATAACTCTTTAAAATTATACTAATTTTCAAGAGTTCATTTGATTAATTATTACTTTTCTGACCCCCCCCCCCCCCTTATCTTTTTCCCATGGCGGCAAAGTCTCGCAATTAATCCAGTCCGAACGAATCATATATCATTCGAAAGTGCTCGATAAACTCTATCTTTTTCACGATGGATGGATCAACTTTTTTCTCCATTAAAAAGTTACAAGTCGATAAGTGTTAAAAAAACGATTTGTCGCACTTTTTAAGTCATAACTTTTTTTTGAGTGAGAAGACTTGATTTATCCAACTGGGAAAAAGATAGCGCCTATCGAGAGCTTTCGAATGATTTAAGATTGATTTGGATTGGATCAAGCATAAAAAATTTATATCCGATCAAATTAGGAAAAGTGGGGGGGGGGGGGGGATAAAACACAAGAGTACCGATTAATTTTATTTTTAAAAACAGATGTCCTCATCATCATCCTAAACTTTATTGCCGACTTTTTCAAGTTGCTGGTTAACAAAGCAAAGAATATCAAATTGTCTAAAGTTGTTGAAAATTTGGCAATATTTTTAGCATTATTAATGTTTCTTCTATTCTTCATACAAGCTGCAAGTATATTTTGGTATATATTTTCCGGCATTGTTTTTGAGGGATTTCTTTTTGAAATTATACCTTGTGGGAGATTGTGGTCTGTTACTGCAATTTTTGTTTTAACTGGTTTTATTCTTGTTCTTTTCTTTCTCGTTACTATTTTGCACGAATTTTTAAAGCACATCGACTGGATTGAAAGAAGCTCTAGACCTCCTATTTTTACTTAAACTACCACAATATTATGCACCTAAGTTTTGCGGACAAATTTTTTTACGGACAAAAAATTATGCTAGAATTTCACTGAAGATGAAAATTTGTCCGCAAAACTTTGTCCGCAAATTTTTTTTTAATTTTCAATAATTTAATATGCTTTATTAAATACTTTTTTCTTACAAGTATTATTAAAATCAGAATTTTTTCTTTTATATATTAATTGTTATTAAAATAAATCTCATTAATAATTGATCAAATCTCAAGGATATTTTTTTATTAATTTATTTTTAAAAATTGTATAATTTACAATTTTTATTTCTTTTAAATTTTTTTCTAAATTTTTTTAAAGATTTTTCAAAAATTTAACAAAAAAATGTGTTCAAATTTTGATAATTTAACTCCAGAAGATTTGGCAAGCGATACAAGCCAGATTTCAACAGATGATGAAATTGTCTGTGTAAAACGACCAAAAATGAAGGAAATTGGCACAATGACGGGCAAATCTGAGATTTCTAAAATGAAGCAGAATGCAGGTTTATTAAGTTTATTCTTTAGATATTTTACCTTATCGGGGTTTTATAAGTTTGGGTCAGCTGAGCGCCAGCCCAGCTGACCGTCTTATCCTTGGCATAAAAATTTTTCTAACATTTTTGTGGGCACAGCCCATGTAGGCGCAAAGCCGAAACTTGCTTCAAGATTTCCGAACCTTTCAAAATTTAAAATTATTTTTTCATAAAATTCATTTAAATTTCAGATGTTCTCTTCACTGCTCTAAACTTTGTCGCCGACTTTTTCAAAGGATTGTTTAACAAAGCAAACAATATCACCTTGACTCAAGTTATGAACTATTCGGTATTATCTATAATACTGTTATTGTTTCTTCTATTTTTCATGCTTATTTGCAATGTATTTTGGGTTGCGTTTTCAGCATGTATTTTTGAAGAGTTAAATTTCGGTAGATGGTGGTCTGCTGCGTCTATTGGTACTTTAATTGGTTCACTTTTTGTTCTTTATTTTTATGTCATCATTTTTTGCGCATTTTTAGTCCAAATCAATTGGATTGGAAGACATCCCATCGATATTATTTTTGCTTAATTTTACCACACTGTTATAGACCTCAGTCTTGCGGACAAAATTTATGCGGACAAAACTATATAAAATGAAATAAATTTTTTGTCCGCAAAACTTTGTCCGCAAATTCTTACTTGTTTCCTTAATCGGTCATCGATATTTCATTCAAAATCCTTATCGTATACTTGTTATCTGGGGAAAATATAGGGGATTTAAACGAATAGAATGAGCTGAGAAAAAAGGAAAGTCAAGTCAAAAAAAGGAAAGTCATTATTTTCGAATAGGAGTTTCGTATTTCGGATCGAAAAATAGGCAGGGCTTTGGTTGATCGGGTCAAGATTACTTTCAATAATTTTGTATAAAAAAATTTTTTGTCCGCAAAACTTTGTCCGCAAAAATTTTTTTTATTTTTTAATAAAATTATTTGCTTTATTTCTTAATTCCCACAAGTATCATTAAAAATTGGAATTTTTTCTTTTATATATTAATTGTTATTAAAATAAATCTCATTAATAATTGAATAAATCTCAAGGATATTTTTTATTAGTTTATTTTTAAAAATTGTTTAATTTACAATTTTTATTTCTTTTAAATTTTTTTTTTAAATTTTTTTAAAGATTTTTCAAAAATTTAACAAAAAAATGTATTCAAATGTTGGCAATTTTACACCTGAAGATTTGGCAAGCGATACAAGCCTAATTTCAACAGAAGACGAATTTGTTTGTGTAATACGACCAAAAATGAAGGAAATTGGGACAATGACTGATAAAATGGATATTCCTAAAGTTGAACAGAATGAAGGTTTATTTATCAATTTTTTTTAAATTGGGGGTTGAGCTTCCTTCCGTTAAAAAATTTTATTTTTCCTTGTCTTTGGGTTTGGCTTTTTTTGATTAATTTTTTGGTTAGAAAGATTTTTTAAAAAAACTTTAGAAAAAGTTTAAGAGCCACCGGGAAGGATCCGAACTGTGACCCCTTCGTAGTTATTGCTAGGCGCTTACACTCACTGTTTATGTGTGAGCTTTACCACTGATGTGGGCTGGGTCGGAGCAGTGACTAATACTTTTCTCTTTTCCTTTTTAGATGTTTTAACCCCCGCCTAATCGTTTTAAATTTATATTTTTTAGTTCATTTTAACTATCGTCAGTTTGCCAGTGATCTCATCGTGTTCTCAAAGATTATTTATGAGTTAATCAAAGTGTTATTTGACAAAGCTAAAATTGGAGCGGTCATTGCAATGGATTGGGTATTTTAAAAATTTTTTATTTCTCCAAAAGTAGGGCTTTCAAAACTAAATGTTAGATGTTTCGGAACTTAAATACATGAAAATTAAATTTCGGACTTTTATTTGCGGACTTTTCTTGGGGTTTTTATTTTGGACATTCCTATAAATCAGAATCATCTTCCTCTTAATGTAATACAAAAAATTTGTCCGCAAGAAAAATCCGCAATTTTCACAATGTTCGAAAGAATACATCTAGGGCTATCCATTAGTGTTGCGCCGGAACCGCAAATTTAGCCGGAACCAAAAAAATCCAAGAACTTCCAGCCTACCGGAACCGAACCTTCCAGCGCAACGCTACTATCCATAAATCAAAAAAAAATCTTCGCAGCCGCAATTTTAATTTTAAAATCCGCAAGTCTCCACATTTGCGGACAACCCTGATATCACCCTTTAATTTAAATATTTTTTAGATTTTCAATCACAGCTCGTTCGTTCTCAGTTGTTTTATGTTAATTAATGGTATTGCTCTATTCTATTTTAATTGCTTCCCTAATTTTAATTCTTTACCCGAATTCAACAAAGCCACAATTGCTTCAATCCACAACAAATTAAATTTATTTTTTATGATTTTATTATTTCTTCTGGTCTTTCTACTTATTGGATATTTGCTATGGCAGAATATTTCAATAATTATTTTTAATGATCGTCTCAGTGGGAAAGCCTTTTTCGTACTTGTTGTTTTAATTTGTTATGTTGTCACTTTTTGGATTTATTTTGATGTTTTAAATTCAGTTTTGATGAATTATTTTAAAAAGAATGAAGAAATGAAAAATGAGAAGGAGAAGTTTTTTAGGAACAGAGTTTGCTATAATGGTGGAAGTGATTGCCATTATGTTTAAATTGTTGAGGTTGTTTTTATTTTTAAAAAAACCTTTTTTGGGTAAAATTCAAATTCGTCCCCCCCTCTTTTTCCTTTCTTAATTTGTACTCAAAAGTCAGACTTCCTCAATTCCACTCTATTTTAGAGCTTGGCGCGGGACGGGATCCCGCGCGGGAGTTGCGGGATATCGCACCCACAAGGGTTGGGGTCATAAGGGCGTTGGGCCATTAGGGCGCGAGCACTAGAAATTGATACTTAGGCGAAACCGAAATTTATGAAAATTTTCTCAAATTTCTTTAACATCATTGACTACCTCCTCCAGAAATTTCAGGATTTTTTATCGAATATCTCTGAAGTTATAGTCGATAAACCGCGAATTTTTGGCCACACTTTCCGAAATTCTTGTTCAAAAATTTTGAAATTTTTGGGGAACGTAGATAAAGGCATGAGAGTTATTATTGCAAAATTTTATCTTTTTTGATAAGCAACTCACTGTTTTATAAGCTCGCGCCCTAATGGCCCAGCCCCACCCACAATCCCGCACTCTTTTCGATTTACGGGATTATTTCCGCAATAGTCCTCCCGCATGCGTTACCCCGCAAATACGGGTTTTCCGACCTCTAGTATATATTAGCAGTAAACATATGATGCTTAAATTAATTTTTACTTTTGTAGGGACTTGTGTTAAATTGGATTTTTCTTTATAATTTGGATATTTTTTTGGATTGAAGAATTTCTTTCAGTATTGATTATTTAAATAAATCTCATTAATTAATTGAATAAATCTCTCAAGAATAATTTTTAAATTTATTTTTTATTTTAAATTGTACATTTAAACAAATTTTTTACTTTTTTTTGTTTAGGATTTTTTAAATTTATGTTTTAAGGGAAATTTTGAAAAATTTTAAAATTTCAAATAATTTTTTTGAGAATTTTTTCTCAAAAAATTAAACAAAAAATGGATTCAAACTCATACAATTTGACTCAAGAAAATATGACAAGAAATACAAGTTTGACTTCATTGGAAAGTGGATGTGGTTATTTAAATGGACTTGAAGTAAAAGAACAAATGGATGTTGAAATTGGTTTATTTTCTAATAAAATTGAAAAGAAAAAGAAAGGTTTTAATTTTGTTTTTTTATAAAAATTAATTTATTAAAGATGCCAAAATTTTTGTTAAACCTGGGAACGTCACTAATTCTTTCGAGGATTTGATAGGGAAGACAAATGACAATGTTAAGGTTTGATTTTCTGTTTATTTTTACATTAAAGCACGGGGTTCTCCGGCTGTTTGCAAATTTGATTATTCAAATAATTTCCCAAAAAATTTCTAGAAATCTTGGGGATCTATTACAAATTGGTTTTCATCAATCAACTATAACCGTCTTGCTTCTTTACTCAACAAATTTTTGGCGGCAACATTTTTGCTTCTCATTTTTGTGCTTGTAACAGCTTTCTTCTCCTATTATTTTATCTATTTTATTACTTATTCTATAAATTCTAAAAAATCTTTGGATTCTACAATATTCTTTGGTTCTTTAATATTATCAGCATTTTTGTTAATAATCTGCTTTTATTTTATTTGTCTCCACAAATCGATGAGAAACCTCCACCCTTCTTTGACCAACTCAAAATGCTTCTCTACTCTTTTTAAAATTCTTCCAAACATTTTTGTATTCATTTTAGCTCTTCTGTTATTGATATTTATGTTTTCTACTTTTCATTTAATTATTACATGGGTAACTGGTGAAGATAAGTTTGGTGCTGAAGAAAAAATTGGTGTGATTTCTATCGTGTCGCTTTCCTTCGTTTTGTTGCTTTACATTTATTTTGCTCGTTTAAAAGCTGTAATGGATAATTACCCTTTTACAATGGATTCTATTGAGAAATTTTTCTTTAAGGATTGAGAGATTGGTTAAAATTTACGAAACCGAGAATCGAAAATCGGTGGTTTTCTGAACCGAAGAAACCTGTTTTCGCCTGGAATCTGGGCGACTTTAATTTTTCTGGGCGACTTTAATTTTTTTTAATTTTTAGAAGGACCAAGAAAATTATTTAGCCAATGTTTCGATCTCTCCAATCCTCTGATATATTTTTTCCTTAATTTTGTATTGAAGTCGGCCTCTAATTTAAATAATTTAATAATGCTCCTTTTCGACTCCCATACGTTTTGAATTTTTTACTCAGGGCATTTGCCCTATTTTAAACTTTTCTCCCTATTTTTTCCCTATTTTTGAGTGCCTCCGCCCTATTTTAATGTGTTGGAAAAGTTCACTCTGCTTCCATATTGACCCAATGATTAACCTAAATTTAAAAATCATTTACAAAAGCAGTGGGAAGGAGTATCAGGAGTGTGTGCCTAAACAGATTTTAAAAAACGAAACATGGAAGGCGAAGGCCCAAAAAATGCGAAAATCCGCGAAACTCCAAAAAATGCCGTGGCGCGAACTTTGCGGAACGAAAGTTGCGGACCCGAAGGTTGCGGACACGAAGTTTGCGGACCTGATCTTTGCGGAACCAAGATTTTAGGACCGACGTTTGAGTAAAAACGAAAAATTAAAAATTTTATTTTTCGAGGATTCCGGCAGAGTTTACAATAATCCGACCGGATTCAAGATTTTTTCTTGATTTTTCAAAGTTTTTATCAATTTTTTATCTTAAAATTATTTCGTAATTTAAATAATCGAGAAAATTCCTTAAAGAAATCATTTATATGGCCATTTCATAAGGTCATGATATCTGAATTCATCCTAATTTACGCCGCATGCTAAAATTTTTGAAATTTCCGAGGTTCAGTAGACTCTATTGTCGGTCCGCAAATTTTTGTTCCGCAAACCTCAGATCCGCAAAATTCGGGTCCGCAAATTTCGGGTCCGCAAATTTCGGGTCCGCAAATTAAAATCCGCAAATTTCGGCGCGCCAAAAATGCGAAACTTCGTGAAACGCGAAACTAGTACACTCCGGGTATTTATTATAAATTGGAGGTCCGACAAAAAATTTTTTCTTTGAATATTGACTATATTTTTATATGCAGAATTAATCTCACGACAGTCTTAATTAATAATCTCATAATAACTGAATAAATATCTCGACAATATTTTTTAAAAATTATTTTAAAAATTGTATATTAATTTTCAATTTTATTTCTTTTTTTAAATTTTTAAATTTATTTACAAGGAAATTTAGATCTTTTGAAAAAAATTTGACAAAAAAATGAATTCAAACTCAGACAAGTTGACTCATCAAAATATGTCAAAGGATGCAAGCCTGGCTTCATTAGAAAGTGGATTTATTAATTTAACTGGGTTTAAAACAAAAGAACAAATGGCTGTTGAAATTGGTTTAATTTCTAATAAAATTGAGAAAAAGAAAGGTTTTAATTTATTTAATTTTATTTTTAAATAAATTATTTTTTTAAAGCTACCAAAATTTTTATAAAAAGAGGAAAAGGAGCCTACTCTTTCGAAGAGCTGGACGAGAAGAAAAATGACTTAGTTAATAAGGTTGGCGGATAGTTGGAAATCTTCGGATATCCGGATCCGGTATCCGATCCGAAAATTTCGGATATCCGGATCCGGATCCGGTATCCGAACCGAAAATTTCGGATATCCGGATCCGGATCCGGTATCCGAACCGAAAATTTCGGATATCCGGGTCCGGATCCGGTATCCGAACCGAAAATTTCGGATATCCGGATCCGGATCCGGTATCCGAACCGAAAATTTCGGATATCCGGATCCGGATCCGGTATCCGAACCGAAAATTTCGGATATCCGGATCCGGTATCCGAACCGAAAATTTCGGATATCCGGATCCGGTATCCGAACCGAAAATTTCGGATATCCGGATCCGGTATCCGAACCGAAAATTTCGGATATCCGGATCCGATATCCGATCCGAAAATTTCGGATATCCGGATCCGGTATCCGAACCGAAAATTTCGGATATCCGGATCCGGATCCGGTATCCGAACCGAAAATTTCGGATATCCGGATCCGGATCCGGTATCCGAACCGAAAATTTCGGATATCCGGATCCGGATCCGATATCCGATCCGAAAATTTCGGATATCCGGATCCGGATCCGGTATCCGAACCGAAAATTTCGGATATCCGGATCCGGATCCGGTATCCGAACCGAAAATTTCGGATATCCGGATCCGGATCCGGTATCCGAACCGAAAATTTCGGATATCCGGATCCGGATCCGGTATCCGAACCGAAAATTTCGGATATCCGGATCCGGATCCGGTATCCGAACCGAAAATTTCGGATATCCGGATCCGGTATCCGAACCGAAAATTTCGGATATCCGGATCCGGATCCGGTATCCGAACCGAAAATTTCGGATATCCGGATCCGGTATCCGAACCGAAAATTTCGGATATCCGGATCCGGATCCGATATCCGATCCGAAAATTTCGGATATCCGGATCCGGATCCGGTATCCGAACCGAAAATTTCGGATATCCGGATCCGGATCCGGTATCCGAACCGAAAATTTCGGATATCCGGATCCGGATCCGGTATCCGAACCGAAAATTTCGGATATCCGGATCCGGATCCGATATCCGATCCGAAAATTTCGGATATCCGGATCAGGAACCGAAATTTTTATTTTAAAAATTTTCGCCTGCGGCGCTGAAAAGTTGAGTCTTATGGAGGATATAAAGGGATTAGGAGCAATTATGATTGGATTTGGGGATTAACAGTGTTATCGAGGGAATTTATGCTTAACAGAGTTATCTAGCTGTAATCAATGTGTGAAAAATTTTGTAGTTTATCTGATGATTTGTGAGAATTTAGTGAATTGGGGGAAGTAGTATGTAGATACATCAACTATTTCCATATTTTTGAATTTGGTAAATTGATAGCTGGGATCGTGGGATTACGAGAATGCTGATAAATTTTGAGGTAAATCCTCCTCACACAAACCTCTTTTCTTCCTATTCAAGCGCCGCAGGCGAAAATTTTGAGAAACTTGGAGGTCCTTAAGTCAGATTTCTTCCACTGACAGCGCCGCAGGCGAAAATTTTGGTAATTTTGCAAGGTCGTAGGCCAAAAAATTCACTTTATAGCGCCGCAGGCAAAATTTTTTTGTAATTTTGGAAGCAAATGAAGCGAAATTTCATCCATTTTCCGCGCCGCAGGCGAAAAATTTACTAAATTTGGAAGATTAGACTACCAGATGTTCCTTTTCCAGCGCCGCAGGCGAAAATTTTGGGAATTTCGGAAGCCTGGGCTACCAGATTTGTTCATTTTCCAGCGCCGCAGGCGAAAATTTTGAGAAATTTGTAAGGCCATTGGGCAAGATTTCTTCCTTTTTCCCTAATTCTAGGATCCGAACCGAAATTTTCGGATATTCGGATCCGGATCCGGTATCCGAACCGAAAATTTCCGGATATCCGGCCTTTTTTCGGATCCGGATATCCGGATCCGCCAACCTTATTAGTTAAGGTTTCGGTTAATTTTATATGAGAGTAGGGGTCCATAGCTTTAAAATTTGGAGAAATTTGCGGACAGTTTTATTTTGGATAAATCGTTTAATTAATTTTTGTCCGCAAATGTTGTCCGCAGAAATTTTTTTGTCCGCAAATTTTGTCCGCGAAAATTTTTTTGTCCGCAAATGTTGTCCGCAAATTTTGTCCGCAAAAATTTTTTTGTCCGCAAATGTTGTCCGCAAAAATTTTTTTGTCCGCAAATGTTGTCCGCAAAAATTTTTTTGTCCGCAAATGTTGTCCGCAAAAATTTTTTTGTCCGCAAATGTTGTCCGCAAAAATTTTTTTGTCCGCAAAATTTAAATTCCTTAAAATTCTTTGAATAATTTTCACAAAAATTTAGGCGTCTTGGGGATCTACTACAAATTGTTTTTCATCAATCAACTACAACCATCTTGCTTCTCTATTTAACAAATTTATGGTAACAATATTTCTAATTTTGGTCTTTGTGTTTGTAACAGCTTTCTTCTCCTATATTTCTATCGATGTTGTTTTTTATTCTATAAATTGTAAAAAGGATTCTTTGGACTCTACAATTTTCTTTGGTTCCTTAATTTTATCAATCTCCTTTGCAGGTCTCTTATTTTATTTTGTTGCTCTTCACAAAACGTTAATAAACCTCCAACCTTCTTTAACTACCTCAAAATGCTTCTCTACTCTTTTTAAAATTATTCCAAATGTGTTGGTATTTATCATAGCTTTTCTTTCCTTGATAGTTATTTTTTCTTCTTTTCATGTCAATATTACAAGTTTAACTATTGAAAATACTTATAATTTTGAAGTAAGGGTTTTTGGTGCTTTTTTCTTTTCATGTTGCTTCTTTTGTTCGCTATACCTTTATTCTTCTTGTTTAAAGACAGTAATTAACAAATTCCCTCTTACAATTGATTCGATTGTGGAATTTTTCGTTTAGAGGTTGAGATTGGCTAAATTTTGAAAGTTTTTTTTTGTCAAATTTTTGGCTACTAAATCAAAAAAAATATTGCGGACAAATATTTGCGGACAACTTATGTAAGCATTTTATTTCCCCATGAGTTTGAAACTTTAAATTTTGTTTTTTGATTTGTCCGCAAATGTTGTCCGCAAAAATTTTTTTGTCCGCAATTTTTTAAATAAGAGCTAGCCAAGAAATTATTAGCTCAATGTCTCGATCTCTATAAAATGGTACTTTTTTTTAATTTATAAAATTGTTGTAGTCGGCCTCGAATTTAAATATCCTCCCTTGGGGCCGTAAAAATCATATTCAAAAAGGATTTTTTAGTGGGAAAAACCCCACCCAGTGGGCAACCCAATTTTTCAAAAAAAATTTTAAAAATTGAGAGGAATATAAATTAGAGGTCCGACAGGAATTTTTCTTTTATTTATTGAAAATTTTTTGCATACTTAATCTCAATATAATTGAATAAAAACATTTCAGGGATATTTTTTTTATTTATTTTTTATCAATTTTAAATTGTATATTTAATTACAATTTTATTTATTTTTTTTTCTTCAAAGAATTTAATAAATTAATTTTTTTAGAGGAAATTTAAATTAAAAAAAATTTTTTTATTAAAAAATGGATTCAAACTCAGACAAATTGACTCTAAATATGACAAAAAATACAAATCTGACTTTGTTAGAAAATGGATTTTTAAATGGGCCGAAGACACAAAAAATGGATTTGATGCCAAAAATGGAGAAAAATGAAGGTTTTTTTTAATTTAATTTTTAAAATAAATTGATTAAAAAGGTGCCGAAATTAATGCAAAATATGGGAAGGCTGCCAATCTTTTCAAGAAATTGGGCGGGAAGACTTACGACTTTGTTGAGGTTTATTTTGTGTTTCATTTAAAAATAGGTCTCCATTGAGTTAATCAAAGAGGAGAAATTTCTCGTACTAAGTTTTGCGGACAATAAATTTTTTGCGGACGAATTTTGCGGACAACCTAGAATATTGTAAATAATTCCCCGTATAACAAGGAATAACATTACAGGGTGAATAATTTCCCGATAACATGGAATCATGCCAAATTTTGTTTTTTTCATTTGTCCGCAAATGTTGTCCGCAAAAATTTTTTTTGTCCGCAATTTTTTTTAATATAACAATTTTCCCCAAAAATTTAGAAATCTTGGCAACGTACCAAAAATAGTTTTTCATCAATCAATTACAACTATCTTGTTTCTCTTTTCAACACCTTCATGGTAGCAACATTTCTGCTTTTGGTCCCAGTGTTGTTTACAACGTTCTTCTTCTACGTCTTCATCGGCTCCGTTAATTTTCTTTTAAAAATAACTTTGCGCCAAACAATTTTCCTTGGTTCTCTACAATTATTTGGATATTTTGGATTGCTTTGCTACTATTTTATTTTTGTTTACAAAATGTTGCTAAGCTTTAAACCAGCCTTGGTCGACTCAAAATGGTTCTCTCTTCTCTTTAAATTCGTCCCAAACTTTTTTATGGGCATTTTCTCTATTCTTTTATTCATAATTATTTTCTCTGCAAATTATTGCAATATTATGACTTTTGCTACGGAATTTAATTTTTATCCAACTGTAAGAATTGTTATGACAACCTTTTGCTTGTTTTGTGTCCTGTGTGGCGTAAAAACTTATTCTGATTTTTTAAACAATGTGGTAGCGAAATACCCTTTTACGATGAATTCTTTTGTTATTTTTTAGTTAGAGATTGAGAGACTGGCCAAATTTTAATTTTATTTTTTTTCTGCCTACATATTATAAAGCATATAACGGTACTTTTCCGTCTGTCACACTCCCTAAATTAAGTTTAAAATGTCACATAGGGTAAAAAAGGTGCTGAGTCGAACGGTACCACTCTTTTTTACCTAACATGACTGTACCGGGATATAGGGCTCGAAATGGTCAAAAATCATAGGGAGGAGTAAGCTCATTTTTGGAGATGCGTAGGTGCAAAGGTATGTCCAAAGCCATAACTAGCTGAAAATTTTTGAACCTTCTCAATCTTGGTACCAATCTCTTCAGCTCGATGGGAGGAATCGTTTAATACTAAATTTGGTGTAAAATTCGGAAATCTTGAAGCAAGTTATGGCTTTGCGCCTACTAGACCGCGCGCCTAGCTCTACTGCCCCCAATTCAGCTATATTATTTAAACTATAATCTGGGATAATAGAAAGATTTTTTTAATTTTTTAGAAGGTCAGGGAGGTGCGCTAATGTCTCGATCTCTAATTTACGGTTATGTAACGATGCTTTTTTTTAATTTTTACAATTTATTGCAGTTGGCCTCAAATTTAAATAAATATTTTTTGGCTCCCACAATCCCCAACTCAATCAAAATTTAAAAATCATCTTGGGGCGTATATATAAATTAGAGGTCTGACAAATTTCTTCAATAGCCTTTATTGTTTTTACATACTTAATCTCACGATAATTGAATAAATCTCAAGGATTTTTTTAAAAATTTATTTTTTTTAATTTGTTTATTTAATCAAAATTATTTTTCTATTTAAAATTTTTTTTTAAAAAAATCTTTTTTAATTTGACAAAAAATGGATTCAAACTCAGACATTTTGACTCAAAAGAAAATTACAAGTTTGGCTTTAATAGAAAATGGAATTATTAATTTAAATGGATTTGAAATATCTAAAGTATCGGTGACTGTTAATATTAATGTGATTCCTAAAAGGAAGAAAAATAGAGGTTTTAACACTACACTTGTCTTTTAAATAAATAAATATATAATTTAAAAGATACCAAAATTTGTGCAAAAACTATCGAGGCAACTGTAGGTGTTTGTTTTTTGTTAATTTTTATTTAAATTAGAGGCGCTTTCTATTTAAAATTGAAAAATTTGTAGACAAACAAGTAATCCCACAGGCAACCTACAGCGCGGCAATTTTTCCTAAAACATGGGAAAATCATGGGTGAAATGTTTCAACAATGAGGGAAGTTGCCAGCAGTTATGACTGACCGAGGATTTTTAGGCAAATGCCTGTTTTTTTCACAAATAGGCCTATTTTGGCAGTTTTTTAGTGCGTGCCTATTTTTAACTTTATCGTGCCTAAAAATCCTGGCTCTAGTTATGACCTGCGGTAGCGAATTTTTCATTTTGCATTTAACATATTTGTCCGCAAGTGTTGTCCGCAAAAAATTTTTATGTCCGCAAAACTAAAAATAATTTCCCCTCCAAAAATATTTAGAAGTCTTGTCGATGTACTAAAAATTGTATTTCATCAACCAACAACCATTCTGCTTCCCAATTCAAAATTATTTTGGCAGCAACATTACTAAACTTGATTTTTGTGTTATTTATGGCGTTCTGCTCATTTCTTTTAATTAAATTTTTTTCTTTTTCCCTAACCTCTAAATATGCAATTTTTAAGTTTACATTATTTTGTGGGTCTTTTTTCATGTTACTCTATGTTCTACTTCTCAGTATTTATTTTTTTGCTCTCTACGAAGTGTTAAAATACCTCCACCCTTCTTTAACTAGTTCAAAATGCTTCTCTACTCTTTCTAAAATTATTCCAAACATTTTTGTGTTAGTCATAGCCCTTCTCATCTTTATGCTTATCTGTTCCTCTTTCTACATCAATATTACAACTTTTACTATTGAAAATATTTTTAGTATAGGAGTAAGAGTTATTATGGCATTTTTTAGTTTATTCTGTTTCTTTTGTTCTCTAGCTACTTATTTTTATTTTTTAAACAAATTTGTAGCTAAATTCCCTCTTACAATGGATTATATTGAGAAAATTTTTAGTAAGTTAGTTAGAGATTGAAATTGATTGTTAATATTTCTTTTTTTTTGTTTCTAGAGTCTTGACAATAATTCCAAGGCTGGTCCTCCCCCCTCCTTTTTTTCTGTTCGCCTGACCATTTTGAGCTTTTTTGTTTGACATATAATTTACAATATATCATTCGAAAGAACTGTTCGAGCTGAGTAGAATGATACTATGATCGGTTCGATTTGGAGATTCTGAGCAGAATTATGGAGCTAACTCCTTGATGGACATGCTTTTTGTGATGTTGAAAGGGATTAAAACAAATGCTCATAACTATGTTTATTTAAGTCGGATTTCGATTAATTTAGTACCGTTCGTCTCAGCTTGAAAAGCTCTTTAGAAAAATATATAATTTGCTATAAAAAGTTTAAAAAATCGAAAAAAAATAGAAAGGAAAAAAGGGGGGACCATCCTTGGAATTACCGTCTTGACTGCTTTAAGAACTACAATTTTATATTTAAATTATCTATTTTTGTATATAATTTTTTAAATGTAGATTTAGAAATTTAACAACAAAAAATGAATTCAAACTCAGACAAGTTGACTCAAACAAATATGACAGAAAATACAAGCCTGACTTCATTAGAAAGTGGATTTGTTAGTTTAAATGAACTTAAAACAAAAGAACAAATGGCTGTTGAAAGTGATTCAATTTCTAATAAAAATGAGGAGAAAAAGAAAGGTTTTTTGGTTACTTCGATTTTTAAATAAATTTTTAAAGATGCTGAAATTTTTGCAAAAATTGGAAAGATCGTCAATTATTTCAAGGAGTTGGGTGAAAAGATAAATCTTATGGCTAAGGTTTATTTTCTCAGTTGATTTAAAATTCGGAACTTGCGGACATTTTTTGCGGACAACTTGAATAAATATATGGGATATAGTTAAGGACTCGCTCAGAATCGGGTCAAAATAATGCCAATTGATTAGCTGAGTGGATCGAAAATGCCTGGACCTTCCCGAAAATCAAAAAAACCATTGGGGGACCAAGCACTTTTTGGGGTGAAAAATTCGAATATGCAAACAATAGCTCATTCGAAAGATCTCAACGAGTTTTTCAATTCATTTCTGCCCCTAGAGAGTGTTGCTGCTCTACGCAGCTTGCTGAATCGAATCTAATACTTCGACCTGTCTGAGTGAGTCGTCAGCTGAACTATAGCCAATATATATGCCCATAAAAGAGAATCATGCCTTGTCTGCTCTTTAAGTATATTTGTCCGCAAATGTTGTCCGCAAAAATTTTTTGTCCGCAATATTTTTGAATATAAAAATAAAATCCCCTCAAAAAAATTTTTTTTAGAAGTCGTGGCAAGGCACTACAACTTGTCTTTCATCAGTCTGCACCAAAAATTGGCTAACCAACAACTTTTTGTTAATAATGTTTGTATTACTGCTTGTTACTTTATTTGCGGATCTATCTACCTACTCTATCATTAACTACATGTATATCAAATCTGATAAGGAGCCTGATTTATTTTTAGTAATTTTGCATGCTTCAATGTCATTTTATTTGGTATTTTTCCCAGTCTTGCTTATCTATAGTTTTGTTTTCAAATTGATTTCATCTGTTCGACCTTCGATTGACTCAAAATGGTTTTTGATTATTTCTAAAATAATTCCAAATCTCTTTGTTTCAATCTTACTGAGTTTTCTATTTATAATTATGATCTGTTTCTATTATGGTTTTTTAAGTCATATTTTTGATGATATGGATGCTATAATTATCTTGAAAATTTATTTATTCTCTTTACATTGGATACTATTTTTTTCTTTTTCATTTTCAACCTATTTAATCAACCTTCCTACAAGGCAGGGTAATACTTTGGTGGTTTAGACCTCCCATTTTTATAATCCCCTGACCATTTTGTGCTTTTTTGACCATTTTGAGCCCACTGACCATTTTGAGCTTTTTTTGCTTAATCTATTCTTTATTATATAGCACTCTAGAGAGCTCTTCAAGCTGATTCGATGATACCAAGATAGGTTGGATTTGATAATTTTAACAAAAAATTATGAGGCTGTCCTCGTTGGATAAGCTTATTCTGTCGATGCAAGGGATTAAAAATGGACATAACTTTGTCTATTTAAGAGGGATTTCGTTTATTTTAGTACCATACAACTCAGCTCGAAGAGCGTGATATATAGTAAATAGGATTAAGAAGAGGACAGATGTCACAAAGGAAATCAGGAAAATAATAGGGGAATAAACCAAAAGTATTATCAAATGCCATGCTTTAATTGATATCTTCTATTGGAGATAGAAACTGAATTCTGTGTTAGATTTAGAAATGCTTTGTTTAGAGAGCGATATGATTAATGTCGACTATATTTTCTTTTCACATATGCATATTTAATAATCTCATGATATAATTGGAACATGCCCAAAAGGGCGCACGGCCATAGTGGCGCAAAGCCATAACTTGCTAAAAAATTTCTGGCCCTAATCAATTTTGGTACCAATCTCTTTAGCTTGATGAGGGGAATCATTTAATACTAAATTTGTTATGAGCAGGAAATCTTGAAGCAAGTTATGGCTTTTCGCCGTTATGGCCGCGCGCCTAAATGGGCTGTAGCAATTTAATTGAATAAATACCTCAAGAATATTTTTTAATTTTTTTAATTGTGGATATTTAATAATTACAATTTTATTTTTTAATTTTACCTCACTATCTTTACTTATATAGAATTTTCTTTAAAAGTTTAACAAAAATGGATCCAAAGTTCAATTTGGCACAAACAAATATGACAAGAAAAGCAAGCCTAAATTCAATAGAAAGTGGATTTGTCTCTTTAAATGACCCTAAAACAAAAGAAACGGCGACTGTTGAAATTGGTTTAATTTCTAATAAAATTGAGGAGAAAGAGAAAGGTTCTTTTGATTATTTGATTTTCAAATAAATTATTTAAAGATGTCAAAAGTTTTACAAAAAGTGTAAAAATACCCAATCTCTTAAAAGAGCTGGTGGAGAAGGCAAAGCTTAATGCTAAGGTTTGTGTTATTTTTTGAGGGTTTCTCCAGTGATTTAAAAGTAGACAGCCCTTCTAACCAGATTATCGAGGAGGTAATCATGGACAATCCGGGAGACACCTTAAAAATTATTATATTCTTTTCTGAAAATAGTTTTATGTAGGTAATCGACCATGCTGAGTCCGAATCTGAGCTTAGAATTTGTTAATTTCGAACCCCGGACCCGATTTCGACCAAGTCGAATTCGGGGTAAAAAATTCGAAATTAAAAATTTATTGCTAATCTGATGCGCCTATTCGAGCTGAGTCGAATGGTATCAAGATTATTCAGTTTCGACAACTTTGGACGAAGTTATGATGTCTGATTCGTATACGGAAGTCTAACCAAGCGTTATTTAATTGATCATAACTTCGCCCAAAATAGTCGAAACTGAATAATTTTGATACCATTCGACTCAGAATAAAGAGACGAGTCAAAATGATCATAATATCGTGTTTTCGAATTTCTACCTCGAATTCGACTTGGTCGAAATCGGGTCCGGGGTTCGAAATAAACAAATTCTAAGCTCAGATTCGGACTCAGCATGGTCGATTACCTACATAGAATTACTTTCAAAAAAAAATAATGGATTTTAAGGTGTTTTTAAGGTGTCTCCCGGATTGTCCATGATTACCATTGAGGACTTTAAAATATAATAATTCGTTCCAAAAATTTTTTTTAGAATTCTTGGCGTTGTTCTACTAATTATTTTGCATCGATTAACATCCAAAATTGTCTTACTTCTCTACTCAACAAATTTTTATTGTCAACACTTCTAATTTTGGGTTTTGTTCTAATCATAGTTTTATACTACCTTTTTATCAACTACATGTATCCTACAATTGTTAGACATTTAGATTTCCCTTCCATAATTGTTAATGCAACTACGGTATCATTAGTCTTCCTTATTCTAATCTCTATTTATTCACTTTTTGTTTGCCTTGTATTATTTATATTTAAACCTAATTTGGTTAACAAAAAATATTTCCTTAAGCTTCTTTTAATTATTTGTTTAAGCTTTTATATTCTCTTATTTTTATTTATTACGGCTAGTTCATATTATAATTTTACATGTTTTTTGTTTAATAATGAGTACAAAGAGAATAGAATTCTTTTTGTGGTCGGTAATTTTCTACTTTATTTTATTTGGTTAATTTGTTATTGTTGTTATTGTATTTGGTTAATTAAAATTTTTTTGAGTATCTCTTAACTGTGGAGTCTGAACGTCCCACTTCAGTCCCTGGCCGTTTCAGTCCCGAGCTTGTAACTCGGGAATTTGGAAATAATTTATTAAACTTTTAGTATCATTGGATAGAGGATTAAATTCTCTACAAAATGATACCAAAGATAAAATAATTTTATTAACTGATAATGAAGTTATTGTCAAAAAACCGCCATTCTAAAAAAAGTCATTTTTTTGCATGTTTTTTGATCATAACTTTGGTATCTGTCGATCAAATTTTTCGATCATAAGCTTATTTTGTAGCTTAATTAATCCTCCATCCAACGATACCAAGAGTTCCAAAAACTACTCGAACCTTCTCGAGTTATAGAGCTCGGGACTGAAACGTCCCGGAATTGAAGTGTCCCCTACCGCTGTAGAGTTTTATCCAAGGCTGTTTCGAAATAAAAAATCATCAAAAATACCAAAATCGAAAGAAAAATAACCTCGAACATGGAAATTTCGAAACAGATCGATAACAACCTTATATGAAAGGGAAAATGACTGACCATTTTGTACATTAAGTAAAAACTGTCTGAAGGACGGAATAAGGACCACTGTTATTCTAGAGCTTTTCCAAAATAATCTCAATAATTAAATAAATACCTCAGCGATATTTTTTAATTTATTTTAAATTGTATAATTAGTAATTACAATTTTTTTATTTTTTAAATTCTTAAATTTATTTAAAAAAATTCTTTTAAAAATTTTTAACAAAAAATGGATACAAACTTTGACAAGTTGACAAATTTTACTTGTGATACGAGCCTAACTTCAACAGAAAGTGGATTTGGTTCTTTAAATGGATCGAAAACAAATGGAGTTGTCAAATTTCCTGTTGATATTGATTTGATTTGTAAAATTGAAGAAAGTAAAGGTTGGATTTCTAATTAAAAAAAGGAAAAGTTATGTGGAGCTTTTTAGATGTCACCGTCAAGAATGGAATATATCGTTCTAAAAATGTTAAAGAAAGTACAAATAAAGCGCAGGTTAATTTAAAAAATTTTTTAATTAAAGAACTTTGAATTTAAAAACAACTAAAAATTTTGACCATTTTGAGCCCCCGTAACCTGTGTTTTTTGACATCTTTGAACCACCCCCTCTGTAATTCGGCTTAGAGATTCTAGAGGGGAATGACACTATTTCTGGTGTCATTCTCCTTAGCTCGACAGGCTCTATCTTTCTGACTGACTGACCATTATGGACATTTTAAAAATTGATGGGGGGGGGGGGGTGTATAAGTACCGAATTAATTTTTTTAATTATAAAAATAATTTTTTTCCATTTAAGAGCTTTGCTAATCGACTTTATGATCGTCTTTCTTCAATAAACTTTACCTCTCTCAATTCATTTTATAATCAAATATTGACATTTTTGGCTGCAACTGTCTTCATTCTTGTATTTCTGCTAATCTGGATTGTTTTCTGGAGTGTGTTTAAAGACTTTGCTTTTGGAACACTTCAAGAAAAATATTGGATGTTTCATGTATTTTGTGCTATTTTTGTCCTTTCCGTTGCTCTCTTTTTTTATTTTAGCATTCTGCTAAACCTACCATTTTTTCGCCCTACCAATTCATCCAATAGACCTCTAATAACCTCAATTCACACAATAATCACAATTTTTTGGTTAATTTTATCGACTATATTAGCCCTCGTTTTACTCTCAATTTCATTCTATTTAATTTTTAAATTTATTATTTTTGACAATTATTTTTCTGAAAACAAATTTACTCAAAATAAATTTGTTAATTCTCTTTTTGCTTTACTTGGGGTTGCCCTGCTTCTTTTATTTTATTTTTCTTTGTTGCGTATAATGCTTATTAATTTGAACTTAGATAGAGGTCTGTATTGATATGATGCTTATTACTGTAAATGGTCGAATAGAACCACTTTCGGAGTATACCGAAACATTAAAAAACCGAAAGACGAAACGCCAAAATTCGAAATTTCGCCGACACACCCCTTGTGTGTCTCTATTAGAGAGTGTGCTTATGTTGGAAGGTGTGATTCTATTAGAGCATTTACGGTATGTTTATTGCGGTAATAAGTACCGTTTATTGCTGTCAGCCTCAAATTTAAATATCCTTGGGATCCAATTATTAATTGCTGTCTGACTCAAATTTAAATATTGCCTTGGGGTTAGAAAACCGTATTTAAGGCGTATCTTTTATATGGAGCATCGATTAAGAAGCTCTTCCTACCCAGTGGCCAACCAAGTTATAAAAGGAATTTTAATTGAGGTCAACAGAATTTTTCTTTTTAATAGTGAATACTCTTTATTTTTGCATGCATATTTAATAATCTCATAATAATTGAATAAATACCTCAACAAAATTTTATTTTTTTCTTAACTTAGTAAACTGTATTAATTATAATTTATTTATTTTTTAAATTTTAAATTTTATTTTTTCCAAGAAAATTTAAATAAAATTTTTAACAAAGAAATGGATTCAAACTCAGACAAGTTGACTAGGGCGACAAGTGATACAAGCCTAACTTCAACAGACGATGAATTTGTTTATTTAAATAAACCTAAGACAAAAGAAGTTGGCACAATGACTGTTGAAATTGATTCAATTCCTAAAATGGAAGAAAGTAAAGGTGTTTACTCGTCTAAAAATTAGTTTCAAAAAGATTCATAATTTATAGTTGACAAGGATGAAAAATCGGTCGACAAGGTAGTCAATATGGGAACCAATACAACTAGTGCTGGGGTTAATATTTTTTCAATTAATTTAATTGGGACTTTGCAGGAAATGTTGGGCCTAATTTTCTCACTCGGGATGCGTCACCTGTATAAGTGTCATACAATAATCACACAAAAGCAGACTCCACCAAATGCCACTAGTCATCGTACCCGAGTTTCTCTTTAAGTTTAAGCCACGGGTGTGGGTAAGTGTCGTTTTCAGGCTCCATTTTTTCCCTCCCCAAGTTTTTACCTATATTTTAACGGAATGGTCAGACTTTTTCCCTTATATCCCAATTTTTCCATCTTCCATCCAATCTGTATTTTGCCTTCAAACAAACAAAAAGGATTAATTTTTGGTATTTAAAAAATATTAGTGAGAAAAACAAAATATAAAAAGGCAATTAGGTTGGAAGAAGGGAAAAAGCCTGACCATTTTGCTTAAGGCTGCTGAACTATTTTAATTTAGCCAATTAAAATTTAGGGTTCCAATCAACAACAGGATTATACATCTTCAAATAATAATAACGATATTATTGGTTTTTATTTTTTCGGCAAGTTAATGCCAATAATGATAATATCTTTCCTCTTCTTGTTTCTAATTGGATCTTGGTGTCGGCCTCTATTTTCAAATAATATTGAGTTTTATGAGATTCTCCATTCAATTGTGTCCTTTGCAAAAGTTATTAAAATTTATATTGAATCAATTTATATAATATTCGCAATTTGCTTTATGATTATAATGTTAGTATCAGCATTCATTCTTATTTTTGTTGTTTTTATAAAATCTCTAAATCTATCATCTTTGATAATTCTACTAGAAACAAATTTGTTGAGTTTGGTTTTGCCTTATTTTTCTTTCTATATTCTATTTTCTGTTACTTTTATTTTTTGTTTTCATTAATTAGTATTTTTCCTTCTAAAAAGAATTGAGGTCTTTATTAGTCTAATTATACCTCGAATATGATTTGAAATAATCTCGTATTTATTAAATGCATTCCGGAAAGTGTTTTTAATCTTTTTTTCTTTCCCAGAATGTGTTTTACTAAATTATTTATAAATTTTGGAAAATACTTTCCGGAATGTAATGACCTCATTATATTTATTAAACTTTCCGGAAAGTGTTTCTTAATTTGCTAGGTATGTTAGATTCTTTCCGGAATGTGTTTTTCTAAACTTTTTTTTTGTATTTTCTTTTTATTTCCGGAAAGTGTTTCTGAATTTTATTTTTTATCTTTTCCTAAGTATTTTTATATTTTTATAATTTCCGGAAAAATACTTTCCGGAAAATGTTTAGTTTTATTTTTGCCTCTTCCGGAATGTGTTTTTCTAGTTTCTACATCTGTGTAATTTCCGGAAAAATTACGGAAAGTATGTATTTTACGGAAAATTCTGCAATGTTGACCATTAAAATAAATCTCATAATAATTGAATAAAATCTCAAGGATATTTAATTATAAACTTTAATTTTAATTACAATTTTTTATTTTTTAATTTATTTATTTTTGTTTCTAATTTTTTAAATTTTATTTTTTTCAAGGAAATTTAATTTTTAAAAAATGAATTCAAAATCAAACAAGGTGACTTGGCAAACTATGTCAAATGAACCAAGTCTGTCTTCAATAGAAAGTGGATTTGTTTCTTTAACTGGATCGAAAGCAAAAGAAACAGTGAATGGTAGAAATGATCTTAATATGGAGAAAAATAAAGGTGACTTGATTGATAAATTGAAGAAATATTTTTTTATAATTTTAAGATATCAAAATTTTCGTTGAAAATGCAAGAAATGCTATGAAGGACGCTCAGAAGGAAAAGAAAAGTAATTTTCAGGTATTTTTTTCGAATTATAGGTATAAAATTGTTGATTAGAGTTAAAGGTCTCAATACTCGGCCTTTTAGATTTCTATATTATCAAACCGAGGCCAGTAAGTCCAAGGTACCAGAGTTGTGGGCGCTCCTCCACATCCCAGCTTTTAAATGTAAATCCCCCTTAATCCTTCCAAATCCCTCAATATTCCCTTTTAGAGGTTGTAGGTTTTAAAATAGTTCTTCAAAGGCTTCAGGGTTGGCCATAATAAAATTTTGCCCAATTTTAGAAGTTTGTTTCGTGCCTTTCTAACTGTTTTGCTTCAATTAACAAAAATTGTCTCAATTCAATTTTGCATGGAATATTGGCATTTTTAATAACAACAGCTTGTATTCTCTTCTTTTTACTAATTTTCACTGTTTTCTGGATTATTTTAAAAAATATTTATAATTATCCATTTTTTGCCAAGGATGACACGCCATTTCTTCGAAATTTTTGGATTATTGTGGCACAACTTTTAATGTTTATTTTCTTGGGTGTTATATATTTATTAATAACAATTTTACATAAAATTGTAATTTCTGCTAAAATAAGTCCGAAAATTAAGGAATTTGTTACTCTGATTTACACTAAATTCTCCTTTTGTTGCTCTATAATATATTTTCTTTTATTATTTATTTTTACTTTAATTTTTTTCTATTTATATCTTGAAGATATTATTTCTACATGTACTGAATATAGATTTGTTTGGGCAATTTTTACTTTATTTATGTTTGTTGTTATCCTTATTGGCTATTTTCTTCATTTACGTTCTGCATGTTTTGTGTAATTTTAGTAATTAATATTTGTATTTTTGTAAAACACATTCCGGAAAAAGTGTGTTTTACGGAATGTGTTTTTCTGTATTTTAATTTATTTTTATTTTCCGGAATGTGTTTTTTCTTTTAAATTATTTTTTCCGGAAAATACTTTCCGGAATATTTCTTTAATTTATTTTGGACTCTTCCGGAATGTGTTTTATTATTTTGTTAAATTGTCGTTCGATTCTTTTCCGGAATGTGTTTTTCTGTATTTTACTATTTTTCTTTTCCGGAAATGTGTTGTTTTTCTTTTAAATTATTTTTTCCAGAAAATACATACTTTCCGGAATATTTCTTTAATTTATTTTGGACACTTTTCCGGAATGTGTTTTTCTGTATTTTTCTGTATTTCACTATTTTTTTTCCGGAAAGTGTTTTTTCTTTTAATTTATTTTTTGCGGAAAATACATACTTTCCGGAATATTTCCTTAATTTATTTTGGACTCTTCCGGAATGTGTTTTTATGTGTTTTAATTTATTCTATTTTCTTTCCGGAATGTGTTTTTCCGTTTTATTTATTTTTGTAATCTATATTTGCGTCTTAACCAATTTTTAAGGGTATTTTAGAAATTTTTCCAATATTGATTATTTAAATAAATCTCATTAATAATTGAATAAATCTCAAGGATATTTTATAAATTTTACTTTTAAAAATTGTAAATTCAAGAACTACGATTATTTAAATTTTTGTTCTTCTAATTTTTTTATTTTTAAAATTTTTAAGTAAATTTAATTCAAAAATCTTTTTAACAAAAATTGATTCAAGCTCATGCAAGCTGACTGAGGAAGATATGATGTACAGTCGTGGAAAAAAGTATGGAAGCGCTAGAAAATTTTTTCTTAATTCTTAATTTTTCATTCAAAAAATACGTTCTATATATCAATCGAAAGCTCTATTCGTATCTCAGTTGACATGTTTCTGCATTTTTCATGAAAATGAAAATTGGCCGAGATGATCCGGATCTACCGGATATACCAAATCCCACTTTTTCGGAAAAATTTTTCGGAACAAATTTAACAAACCCAAATGATAAAGCATATTTTTCTGAGCATTTACCACAAAACGCTTAGAAATATCTTTTTCCGATCCAGAGATATGATTTTTTGAAAATCGCATTTTTCCCTTAAAAATTGAATTTTTTGCAAAAATAGACGAAAAATGCAATTTTCAAAAAATCATATCTCTGCTCCGGAAAAAGATATTTCAAAGCGGTTTTGTGATAAATACTCAGAAAAATATGCTTTATCATTTGGGTTTGTTAAATTTGTTCCGAAAAATTTTTCCGAAAAAGTGGGATTTGGTATATCCGGTAGATCCGGATCATCTCGGCCAATTTTCATTTTCATGAAAAATGCAGAAACATGTCAACTGAGATACGAATAGAGCTTTCGATTGGTATATAGAACGTATTTTTTGAATGAAAAATTAAGAATTAAGAAAAAATTTTCTAGCGCTTCCATACTTTTTTCCACGACTGTATATAAAATTTTATACTAGA